TAAATATTTTAAATAGAATATTGTTGAATTATCAAGTAAAATTGTATAAGAAGCAGATGTAAGACTAGGGAATATATCCTTTAACTTTTTTGCATGGTTGTTTTCTGCAAGTACTACTTCCTCTAGAGAAAACTCTCTTTTCATGTTTACCAAATTGATCCCTCAGGGACTGACTTAAAACATTGTGGAAGCTTAGCTATGTTGCATCACCCATGATATATCAACCTCAAACACATGATTCAGTTTGCAGAGAGAATATTACCCCAGGAACCCCAATAACATAGGGTTATACTGGTTAAACTATGTCTACTTCTAAAGTTTGTCAACATCTTTAAATAGTATCCATTTTAGGAATATTCAAGATTTAGCTGGGATAGTTGCAGTTCTTTTGATTAAAGCACAGTTCAGTTTAAAAATCACTCAGGGCACCTGGGTGGCTCAGTCAGTTAAGCTCTTGGTTTCGGCTCAGGTCATGATCTCAGGGTCATGAGATCGAGCCCCACATCAGGCTCTGCGCTGGGTATGGAGTCTGCTTGGGATGCTCTCTCTCTCCCTCTCCCGCTGCCCCTCTCCACCCCCCCCCAAAAAAGTTGTCCCCCTGCCCTGTCTCTAAGCCCACTGGTCCTGCTCTCTCCTGAACCGGCTCCAGCTAGGCTTTCACTTCGCCGGGGACTGCACACTGCTGTCTCATGGCTCCCACCCTGTCCTCACCCTCCTTGTCGTATTCAACAGCACTTGACAGTTGATGCCTTTCATCTCCTTGACACATTTTTCTCACTTGGTTTCCAAGGTCTTGACACACACCCGAGCTTCCTCCTGCCTTGCCAGCTAATCTGTCTTAGCTTTGTTACTGACTTCTCATGTGTTCAACTTATAACTTGGGGTGCCCCAGAATTTAGTCCTTGGGCCTCATCTCTTCTCTGTTCATCCTCATTCTCAGAGTGATCTCCTCCTTCTTACCCCAGGTCTCTCTGAGTGTCTGTGGCCAGGCCAGGCCAGTTCTCCCACCAGACCCACACATGGAGCTGCCTACTGAGATGTGTGATAAGCATCTCAAATCTAACATGTCTCAAACCACACGGACTCCAAATATTCACACCGAAACTTGCTCCCTTCATCTTCTCCATCTTAGTAAATGGCTACTCCTTTCTTCTAGTTGCTCAGAATATCATTGCCTCCTTTTTTTTTCCATATCCCACATGTGATGTCAGCAAATCCTATCTTCTTCATCTTCAGACTCTATCCAGAATTAAACCATTCCTCAGCACTTACCCACCAACAATCTTTTCTAAGCCACAGAAAAGCCACAGATCTTTCCTGATCGCCCTTCTTCAGTCTTAGTTTCCCCAACTCTGTTGTTCACACGGCAGATGGAAGGATCCTGTTCTGGTAAGTTGGATTATGTGACTCTCTGCATATAGACTTCTATTGGCTCCCCAGTTTGCTTAAAGTAAATCCAAAGTACTTACAAAGGTGGCTTTGTAATTTCATCACCTACAACTCTTCCTGTCATTCATTTTGCTTCAGCCACACTGGTCTCCATGCTGTTTCTGGAGATAACGGGCACCCTCCTGCCTCAGGGCTTTTGCACATGCTCTTCTCGCTGTACCAGAGTTACCTGCAGCATTCTTTCATTTGCTTTGTTCTTGTCTGTGCTCACACGTTATCTCCTCAAGCCTTCTCTGATCACCCTGTTGACAGTTAAAACCTCCCCCCACCATCAACACTCTGTATCCTTTTTCCCTGCTTTATATTTTTTTTGTACTTATAAACATATGATTCACTTATTTCTTGTTTTTTCCATTCAGTAGAATGTAAGTTCCAAGGGGGCCAGGAGTTCTGTTTTGTGCATTGTCATATCCCCAGGACATATAACAGTATTTAGTTTAATAAATATTTGTTGAACGAGGGAATTAATTGCATGGCCAGGCAACTGTTCTGGCTGGTGAGATATAGAAGGCCCTGAGAAGAGCATTCCTTCCCAAAGAAAAACTCAGGCTTTGCTTGGAATTGTAAATGAATTCTGAACTCTCTGTCACAGTGTTTTAGGAAGGAACAGAAAATTGCTTTTACTCTTGACATCCCCCTCTCTACTGAGACCAAATGGTTGATCTATAGCCATGTATTTCCATCTGTAGAGAATAGGCAAAATTCCTAGTATTGTACTGTGAGGGCAATGATGACCAACACAAATTGCCAACCAGTACACTGATAGGTCCTGGAGACCAACCATTGCTTCAGCTGGATTGATTCTGGGGCCCAGATTAGGAGGCCTTCAAGAGGTTGCAGAGAAAAAAATAGTTCAGAGCAGCAAGTCCTTCATCTTTTCCTTACTGAGTGATTTATATGTACAGATTAAATTGTGGCTTGGATCCAGCAGTGCCTTTTCACTCTTGTCATTTGTCATTCACTCTTGTCTGGCCTTTCCCTGGAGGTGGATTGAGGGAGGAAACTGTATATCTTGTGCCACCACCCACTCGCTAGTGAAGACTAGACATGTAGAGCCTTGAGTTCTGCTGGTTGTATCTTAACAGGCTAGGGACTTGTGCAGGGATGGGGTACAAGGCTCACTGCGAAAGACTGCAAGAAGTCTTCGTAATTACAGGATTCTCTGTAATGGTTAGTCAGCCAGTTGGGTCTTTCCCTAAACCTCCGCTGCCCTGTTTGAGCAAGCCCAACTATGCATAAAATCTGAATCTGCATGTTTGTGTGTGTACCCCATTGATGCGAGTCCCTGTTGGCAGGATACTCCATATAATATGAAATTGTTGCATTTGAGAGATTCAGTGACACAGAACTGGAGATGGAGAGGTGTTGTGAGAGACCCTAGAGATGGAGCTGGCCACTGCGTGAGGACTGGAGAAGTGGGGCCCCCTCCAATCCAAGCGGGAGAGACAACGTGTCTTGTTAGAGAGCAGTGAAACAGCAGGTTTAATTTCCTCTGTTGTATCTTGGGGTGGATGATCCATTGAGGCTTGGCAGAGAAATACCAGGATGTTATAGTTTATTGGTTGCTTCCTGTCCTCAGTAGGGTAGCTCAGGCAAGACACAAGTTTTGTTCCAAGCTGGCCTATCTGATGGATGTACAGTGGCCAGCAAGATGGATGTACAGTGCTGTCAGGAGGGGCCGAGTCTGCCCATGCCCAGGGATTCAAGACCTCTGGGAACCACTTAGGCACCTGCTGGACTTCAAATTCTGAACCCTCTGCCCAAGGCTAAGGCTAGTGTGAGCCAAGGCAGGGAGGGAAGGACACAACAGAGATGAGACTGGGAGAGTTTTTATCACTACATTTTCTTACTCCATGTTATAAGTCAATCCCACTTTTGCTCTCAAATCTATAACACCAGCCCTAATCTCTCCCTTGAACTTCAGAGTCGTAGAGCCAAATGTTTGCCACATACATAGATGCCTCATAAGCATCATCACAGCTCCTTTTCCTGTTTTCCCAATTCAGACTGAAGAAATCTGTAGTCATGTCGGAAACCTAGTAGGGATTCTAATCTCTCTCAGTCAGTTCAAAGTCTTTTCAATAAAAGCTCTTAGATGTTTTTCATATTATCCCCTATTTCCTAATCCTTTCTGCCCTAGTTTATTCTTTTATCATCTCTCACATGAAACTACTCTCAATTTAGGTTCCTAACTAGTGGTTTCTTTGGCTTTAGTTTTGCCTTCCTGAAACAACCTTCAATATGGCTACCAGAATGATCTTCCTAAAACGCAGGTTGCGCCTAGTAGTCTTCAGCTATGTTTCTTTTTTTTTTATTAAAGATTTATTTATTTATTTATTTGAAAGAGAGAGAATGAGAGAGAGAGAGAGAGAGAGCACATGAGAGGGGGGAGGGTCAGAGGGAGAAGCAGACTCCCTGCCGAGCAGGGATCCCAATGCGGGACTCGATCCAGGGACTCCAGGATCATGACCTGAGCCGAAGGCAGTCGCTTAACCAACTGAGCCACCCAGGCGCCCTTGTTCATTTTTTTCTGATTATAGAAGCAATGTAACATAATTCTAGAACAAAAGAATTCTAGGAAATAAAAACTGATCCAGCAAACTAAAGATTTTATATTAACAAAATACAAACTTGTGTTCTTACTCTTCTTTACTATCTGTATATGTGTTGTTTTACAAAAAAGAAATGATTTTATACATAGTTTTGTTTTTAAAAAACAATTGTTTTTACAACATTAAATATTCTATGAGATGATTTTCATAGCTGTATAGTATTACATTGGCAAATGAATAAAATGTAGCCTATTGATAAATAATATTTGTCAGATATTTGTCAAAGCGTTTTTTTTTCATGTGCTTTGCCACATGGCTTATGTGCATTATTGTATCACTTCTTCCCAACTCTGGGGCAGGGATTTTTATAAATCCATTTATACATGAAGGAACAGAGGTTAACAAACATAAAATAGCTTGTCCAAGATCACACAAGTATTAAGTGATGAAACTGGGATTCAGTTATACATGATTTAACACCCGAGCCACTGTAACTTTTAAAAAGGATATTCTGTAATTTATTTAGCATATGTCCATTGTTGAGCATTTAGGCTGTTTCCGATTTTCTTATAATGATTAATAATGCTGCTGCCTGTGTTAGACATCCTTAGAGCCAAATCTGTGTATATATTTCTGGTTATTTTCTTCAGATAAATTCTTAAAAGTGAATTTTTTGTCTCAATTGGTTTTTCCCTCTAATTACAAATCTATGTGCACAAAATGGAAAATTTGGAAAATATAGAAAAGCACGAAGTAATAAAGCAAAAACCGTTTATAATAGTTCCACTTCCAGATAGTACTGTTTTAACATCCCACTCTTTCTCCAGCCTCTTATGTGTATTGTATATACATATATATATAAACTATGTACCTGTATATATACACACAGTGTTACAGCTATGTTGAAGCGTATATTTTATTTTTTCATTATATATTACAGAAAATTTTATGATACCATTGCTACATATATAAATATATACACATATGTTTTCCTTGCAGGTAATCAATTAATTAATTGTAGAAACCATATTTTGGAGTTTAAGGAAAAAATGCTACATTTAAAAAACAAAACTGAAAGAAATCGCCAAGAGCTGACCAAAGCCTTGAGTAAAATGAAGTATGAAATGACACAGAGAAAAAATATGTCCATAAACTTAGGTTTGTGTTGCTTTTGTTTTTGTGGGTGGTGGTTTGTTTGTTGGTCTTGTGTTTTGTGTTTGGGAATTTAGATTTTGTGCTTTGTGATTTGAGGACACTTCTCCCCAACAAATATAACTAAATTAGTTACTTGTTCTTTTATTGTGAGACATACAAAAATCAGGTGAGCGATAACACTAATATACTCCCTCTCCTCTGTGGCTCAGAAATGGTCTTCCTGTGTTTTCTGTGTGACTTGCACCACCATCGTGACCCATCCGCTAGGTGGGCCAGAACCCTGAGTGTCACTCTGACTCCCCCACACCGCCTCCTCTTGCATATTCCCATTTCAGTCAGTAAGCAAACCTGTTGATTCACAATCCTATGTATCCACAAATCTGTCCACATTTTCCCGTCACCATCTCTGCTGCTCTAGTCAGGCCGCCTTCATGCCTCGTCTGAATGACTGCTAACATACTTCTGTTTTTTCTCTCTCCCCAGACTTGTCCCCGCCTGTCTATTCCACTGTAGCCAAAGTGAAGGCTCACTATCCTGTGTATCATCCTGCAGTGGCTCGCATTTCTCCAGGATAAAAGTCCTGCCTCTGTTTCCCCTTTTGTAGTCAGGTAGTCCTTACTCTTAGTACCTTGCGACCACTAATCAGTCCTCTGTTCTTAGAGTTTTCTCTTTCCCAGAATGTCATTCAAAGGGAATCATACAGTGTGTAATTCTTGGAGACTGACTTCTTTCACTTAACAAAGATTCATCGAAGTTATGTGACCAAATTTTTTGTTGACTTTATATTGCTGAGTAGCCTTTGATTATATGGATGTACAGTGGATACAGTTTGTTTATCCTTTTACCAATTGAAGGACATTTAGGTTGTTTTCATTTTTTGGCAATTACAAGTACATGTTACTGTAAACATTCATATACAGGTTTTTTGTATGAAAAGAATTTTCTTTAAAGTATATATATTTATATATACGTATATATATCCTGAATACATTTCAGATAGATATGTGATTTGGAAATGTTTTCTCCCAATCTTGGCTAGTCTTTTCATTCTCCTTATGGTGTCCTTCAGAAACCAAACACTTTTAATCGTGAAGTTCAATTTATCAATTTTTCTTTTTATATAATGTTTTTGATATTACCTTTAAGAATTCTTTACCTCCCTCAGGGTCACGAAGATTTTCTTTTATGTGTGTGCTTTGAATTTTATAGTTTAGGTTTTACATTTGGGTCTCTGAAACTTTTGAGTTGGTTTTTGTAACTAGTGTGAAGTACGGGTCAAGATTCAGTCTTTTTCATGTGAACGTCCAAGTATTCCAAGTATTCTTTGTCAAAAAGGCTGTCCTTTCCTGCATTGAATTGCCTTTGCACCTTTTCCAAAAATCAGTTGATGATATTTATGTGGATCTATTTCTGGATTCTCTATTCTGTTCCATCGGTCTGTGTATCTTTTTTTAAGGTAATACCATACTGTCTTGATTACCATATTATATATTATGAATTATATAGGGTGTGAGTCTCTAATTTTGCTCTTCTTTTTCAAAATTGTAGAGGTATATTCAAATGAATGGTACAAGTAGAATCATTAAATGTTGAGCTACAAAACAAAGTTATAGAGATACCAACCTTAATGTGATATTAATCAAAATAGCAGATCAGATCAATTATAGCATGTTTTGGTTATACTTCATTTAGAACTGACAGTTCTGTTAGTCTCTGGTTATGTAGCTCATAGTGCTAGGCTTAAATATTATTTTTAAAATAAATATGAATCAATAATATTTGAACTATATTTTGTAGCCATATGATTTTAATAGTTCACATTTAATTGTATTTCTCCTATATATTGAATACTAAATCTGTTAATCTCATTATGAAAAATTGTACCAAAGAGAGAAAAATCCCTATCGTCATGCACTTAGCAATCCTCTTTTTTCTCTCTTTCAGTTGAGAAGAAAATGAATACATTGGGTAAGAATGAAACAACATCTAATACATTTGAAATCCTAAAGTTCTTTTTTCCTCATCTAAGGAAAGTAGACAGAATTTATCCTGATGTAATCATTGGCAAAGAGAAAACAGGTGGTAAGCAAATTTATAATTAGAAAATCAAATATAGATATTTTGATCTTTGAGGACATGCTTTTAAGTTTTGTTGTTGTTTGTTTGTTTGTTTGTTTGTTTTTTTAAGTAGGCTCCATGCCCAATGTGGGGCTTGAACTGAGAATCCTGAGATCAAGAGTTGCGTGCTCTACTGACTGAGCCAGCCAGGAGCCTCTTAAGTTTTTTTGGATGCTTCTCTAATTACTATTATATTGCTTTTAAGTTTTAATATGTAATCCATTAATATAATACTCCGATACGTAGACCACCAGCTTATGTGGCATTAATTTGGACTGCCAGAAATTATATGACTTGGCAGAAAAAAAATAGTTCAATAGATATTTAGAGACTTGAATTCAAATTCAACTTGAATACAGATGTTTTAAAAATAGGTTATTATAAGTCACATATACATTTGACTTATATTAAGCATCTGCTAAGTACCTGGCAACTCTTGTCTCCCTTGGTTTTGATCAATTCATTCTTATCTGGTTATCTTCCTATTTCCCCATCTTTCTGGGGACCAAGGTCAGCGAAAGCTTTACAGAAGAGGTGATGTTTGAGCTAATCCTTAAATAATGAATTTAACTTCAGCAGGTATTAAAGAAGAGAGAAAGCATCTAAGTTAGAAGCAGGGATTTTAGGGCGAGTCTCCGAACGCTTGCCATTCTCACAGACCTTGTTTGTTCTAATGAGTCACCCCAAGCCAGTGGCAGCCAACTACAGCCCTCAGGCCAAAGCTGCTACTTTACAGTAAGATTTTGCTGGAGCCTAGTCAGTGCTCATTGTTACTTGTCTGAGGCTGTTCTCATGCTACAGCGACAGAGTTGAGTAGTTTCAACAGAGACTGTATGGCCCGAGAGACAAAAATGTTTATTTACTACCTGGTCCTTTACAGAAAAAGCTTACTGATCTCTGATCTACATGGTTCCTTGGGAATAAGTAGTGTTCCGTAGCACATGCCTCTGCCAAGCTTGCTGAGTTGGAATGGGGGTGCCAGTGGCATTGCTTAACATCTGAGTTCTCACTGTGTTCCATATACTGAGTTACTGTGCTTTCCTTCCTTCCCTCTTTCTTTTTTCTTTTTTTTTTTTTTTTATGTTTTCTCTCATTGTCTCATCTGACCCTCACAACCCAGCACAGTAGGACCTATAATTATCTCTATTTTACACCTAAGAAAATTGAGGTTTAGAGATATTAAGCTACTTCTTGAGATTGCACTTGAGTCTTAAACTGCATCAGATTCCCTCTTAGGAGTATTTTGAATGTGGCACGTGTATGTACATAGACATGCATAATGTGTGTGAATACATGAGAAAGTGTGTGCTCCCCCAAAGCTAAAGGTAACAGGAGGAGGAGATGAAAGACATAGAAAAAAAAAACCCAGTATGTAGAAACTATAAAATAGTAGATACCAAGAATCAGCATAGCCTTAAATAAACATCAGCAAAGATAAGCAGAAGCCCATGCCAGAGAGTGAAAGGAAGGAGGGAGAGATGTTTGTAATTGGGAAGAACAACAGAACTCTTTTGGGGGTTTTGAGGTGTTGAGGTAACCCAGTTAGCAGAACTGTGTTAAATCTTTTTTTTTCTTTTTTAAAGATTTTATTTATTTATTTGACAGAGAGAGACACAGCGAGAGAGGGAACACAAGCAGGGGGAGCGGGAGAGGGAGAAGCAGGCTTCCCGCGGAGCAGGGAGTCTGATGCGTGCCTCCATCCCAGGACCCTGGGATCATGACCTGAGCCAAGGCAAATGCATAACTGACAGAGCCACCCAGGCGCCCTATAGAACTGTGTTAAATCTTGAATAATTTTCTAATTCCCCAACTATTTCCTGATTTCCACCCATGCTGTATATATTGATCCTCCTTTTGAGCCCTTTGGTGGATTTTCATTGGTCCTTGGGAGGACCAGTTTGCCTATAAACCTTCATTACCAGAAGTAATTGAAAAGATTTTTTTTTTTCCTGGTAACTAAAAGATCATAGCACATAAAACATTTGTGAAACCACTGAAGCCTATAGCAAGGCCTACTGGGGAATCTGTCATCAGTCTTATTTGTTCTATATTCTCCGTATATTTCAAATAATTTCTGCTCTCTACCCTCTATAACTATTCTTTCAGCTTTCATTTCTTGCCCAGTGTATTGAAATAGACTTGTAAATTGACTAAAGTCAATCCATTCTTCATACCCTCCTCAGAGCTGTGTACTAAAATGCATAACATCATGCTCAACTCTTGCTTAAAATCCTTTAGTGGATCCTCAGTACATATAGGATGAAGCTAGCTCTTTGATATGGTGTATGCACAGTAGACTGTATTTTTCAAATCAATTTTTGTCACTTCCCCTCCTTTCCAGCAATCCCAAAACACTTACAGTCCCTGTGAATAAGCCAAGTGATTAGCACATGCTGATCACTGCCTGCAACAAACCCACCACCTCCTGTCGACCGCAACTAACTTCCCCACTATGACTTTTCAGCTTAACTGACAACTTCTTTGTGCAGTCCTCCATGTCCTCAAATAACCAGCTTCTACCAGGGGAATAGTGGTGGATAAGACAAGACCCTCATCCTCCTACAGACATGTGAGAAGGCAATTACAGTATAGAGTAACTAGTGCTGTGACAAGGGAAATACGAGGTGGAGCAAGTAATCCATACTTGGGGAATTAGGGAAGACTTTCCGGACAAAGTGACATTCACCTGAGTCATGAAGGGTGAACAGAATTGGAATAGACTAAATAGAGAAAAAGCAGGTGATGGATAGTGGAAAAGTAGAGGATGTTCATCCAGGTAGAGAAAAAGAAATAGGAAGGGTCTAACAGCAAGAGGGCCTGGACAAAAAGTGGGGCGTGTGTGCACAATTGGGGCTGGAAGTTATTGTCAGTATGACATGGGGTAGAGCCCAAATAATAAAGAGACTTGGCTATTCACTTATTCAACACGAGTTTATTGCCATTATTATGTATGCCAATAACATATAGAATGATAAGTACTATGTGAGATGAAGTAAGACTATGTAGCCCAACCTAGTTTAGAAAGAAAGTGTAGAATTAGCACAAGGAACCTGAAGAAGAGTGTTCTAGGCAAAGAAAGGATGGCATGAGCAAAAGCCTGGAGATGAGAGGATCCTATTTGGTCTGAGAAGCTGAGCGATGCTAAGTGAGACTGGTTTACAGAGAGGATAGTTGGAAGGGAAGAGGAAGGTCGGGGCCAGGTCATTGAGGGCCTTGTAAATGTTTGTAAACGTGTTCGTTACCCCAAGGCATGGGGAGTCACTTCGGGAATTGCATTTTAGAGCGGATCCCAAAGTTTGAATAGTAAAAAAAATTTAAAAATCCACTCATACTAGAATATAATTTTAAAATAAAAAGTTCAACATGGTAACAACAACAAAAAAAGCCCACCCGAAAACAAAAACAACAAAACCCAAAGTTTGAAACTTGATTCCTGCCTTACACCATCCATAAAAATCAATCCCAGATGGACTGTAGACCTAACTATAAAAGGCAAACAATAAACCATCGAGAAGATATTCAGGAGAATGTCTTTATGACCTGAAGATAAACAAGGATTTCTCAACAGGAATCAAAAAAGCACTAACTTTATGTAAAGGAAGAGATGGATAAATTGTACTATATTAAAATTAAGAATTTCTGTTCATCAGGAGGTAGAACATTGAAAAGGGAACCCAGAGTGGGAGATGATACTTGTAATACACATAACTGACAAAGCATTCATATTCAGAATCTATAAAGAGCATTAATAAATAAGAAAAATCCAGAAAACTCAGAGAAATGGGTAGGAACTTAAACAGGGATTTCACAGAAGAATGTCCAAAGACCAATAAACATATGAAAGTATGTTTGAACTCAATAGTAATCAGAGAAATACTAATTCTTACTGTTGTCACCAAAGTTCAGTAATTTTTTGTTACATAAATGCTTCTCAGTTTGTTGTATATCCAGGGCCCTGATTGTTTCGACAATTTTTTTCTAGTTTTATTATTGCTTTTTTAGGGAGAGGATTTTCTGAGTTCCTTACTTAGCCATTCTAGAAGTCCTTATCCCCATTTTAAAGGTGGGGACATTGAGGCTGGAGAGGCTGTGTATCTTGCCCAAGTTCATATGTCCAGGCACTAGTGTTGAGTTTGGGCGGACTTTACTGAGATAATTTTAGTATCCATTTGGATGACATGAGATCCGTTCTCCCAGTGTTCCAGTCAATAGTGGTCAATACAAGTAACTTAGGGGCATGGATTCATTCCATTAAATCACTTGAAAATTACTTCATACATTTTTTTTCACAGATGAAAATATTTCATAGTATTTTTCCTGTTTTGGATCCCAGCATTTCCTTAGGAAGAGAAGTAGAGAATTCGCCAATGTGTGACATTTTGTACCCAAGTTAGGTAAAAGCTAAAATAAATGGAGAGTGGTTAGTTTTATCTTTTACTACACTGAAACCCTCCAACATGAGAACATCTTGGAGACTACTTAATGCATTTACTAACAATCCACTGCAAATTGGAATTTGCTCAGGCAGAAAATGAACTTTGTGATAAAAATTAAGAGTAGTTTGGATAATTTCTGTAATATAGTTTTGGACATTCTTTATGACCATATGACTAACCCAAACACAGTAATAAGCATAGATATTAATGATAAATTATGTTTTTCTCTGTGGTTTGAAATGATGATTCCATGCTCCTTTGCCTGCAGTCTCTTTCGCACTGGGCATTTCCACTGTTAACAGAGGAAATCAAAGTTACCTGAAGCAAACACTGAATTCTCTCATCTCCAGGATGACTCCTTCAGAAGAGAAGGACTCTGTGGTGATTGTCTCTGTCTCAGATGTACGTATGAAAAATAAGTGGCTCTCCTCAGGCCCAGCCTGTGGTCTCCAAATACCCTTCCTCCATGGTAATCACTGTCGTTTTGGATTTTTTTTTCTTAAATTTAAAAAAGCAATTCATAGATGCCTTTTTGGTTGGCAGACAATGTATTTAACACTTGTTTGATACCACTGAGAAGGAACTAAATATGTCAATCTAAAAAGAAAATAGAGTGGTTCCATGTGGAGAAATAAGATTGCATTGTTAAATATGTTACTAGGAGCCCTGCATACTACGTAGTACAGAAATTATATTTACAAACAGAACATTAAAATTGAAGCTATAGTAATAAAACCTGCCGGCCCAATAAAAGGTAGGTATATGAATCAAGAGATAATTGGTGTTAACTTAAGTAACAATAACCACCATGAATATTGAGGGATTCCTTCCTATGTCTGAAGGATTGTAGACAATTTTTATATACATTATCTGTAGTCTGCATTACATCCTTGTAAAGTAGGTGTAGCTATCCTGATTTTACAGGTGAAGAAACTGGAGCTTATAGAAAGTAAGTAACTTGCCCAGTAATTAATACAGCAGATTCAAATCTATGTCCAATGGCCCCCAAATTTTCTATCTTGCCTTCTAATGCCATGTAAAACTTACATAAAGCACTGTATAAATATTGACACCATAAAGCCTTTTGGAGGGGGAATTTGGCAACTTGTGTTAGATTTAAAATGTGTATATCCTATGTATCAGAAATCTCAATTCTGGGAAGTTATCCTAAGGAGATAATCAAGCAGGAATTCCAAAATAATAAAAATATGACAGTATGTACAGTAGTTGAGAACACATACTCTGGATCTAGATTGCCAAGGTTGAAATGCTGGCTTCTCCATTTCCTGGCTTGTGAACTTGACAAGTTCCTTCAGTTTTCTATGCTTCACTTTCTTTCTCTGCAAAATAGTGATGATAATATTACCTATGTCATAGGGTTGTTTTGTCAATTACATTAGCTATTATATTTAAAGTATTTAGAATGATGCATGGCATATAGTAAACGTTCAGTAAGTAACTATTTCAAGGATTTTCAATGCTTGATTGCTTTATAAAAGCATAACATTGGAAAACCACCAAAAATGTCTATCAATAAGAGGCTGGTTAAATCCTTGTGTCTACATTGCAATAATCCACAATGCAATTGTGACCATGGAAAAGAGAATGAATATCTGTATTAACTGACATAAATGACATCCATATCATATTGTTGAGTGGGAAAAAAGTTGTAAAGCATCACATTTAACATCATTTTATCTGTGTAAAATGTGGTAGATGGAAGGAAGGAGGTAAAAAAGATACAGACAAAATGTATTAAAAAAAAAAAGAGAAAATGAACAAACCTTGGAATAATGGTCTCCCAAATATAAATAATGTTATCTCCAGATAGTAAGAGTTGGAGGGATCTTTGTTGTCCTTTCTATATTCTTTTTTTTTTTTAAGATTTTATTTATTTATTTGACACAGAGAGAGACACAACGAGAGCAGGAACACAAGCAGGGGGAGTGGGAGAGGGAGAAGCAGGCTTCCCGACGAGCAGGGAGCCCGATGCAAGGCTCAATCCCAGGACCCTGGGATCATGACCTGAGCCAAAGAAGGACGCTTAACGACTGAGCCACCCAGGCGCCCCTTTACTTTCTATATTCTTGTCTTTATTTGAATTTTCTACAATAAACATGTCTTTGAATGCAGAAAAAACTCAAAAAACAAAACAAGCAATAGAAGAAGAGGAAAACATAAAAGATTAAACAGTCATTCTCTCCAAGTTTAATTTCTTAATATTGAAAGCATATACATAATCTCCGAAATGTTTTGCCACATTTCTGTACGTTACAGATTATAATCTTTATTTCTTTGCTGCTGACACAGTGCACATGTGCCTAAAATGTTTAGACCGGTAATAAAATATTAGGGACAAATTTTAAAATGGAATGTAGATTGCTTAAGAAGTATAGCTTTAGTACTATATTTAAGATAAAAAATATTTCTGTGTAACAAATAGCTGGTGATTCAATTTATGGCTATCTTAAGAACCTTAAGTACTGTCATAGGGTTATCTGCATCATGATGGATATTTTAAAATAAGCAGTCTGTATACATTTCAGAGTACTCAGATTTGACAATAGAACTGTCATTATTCAAAATTTTTCAGAATTTTATATTAGGAATGCTTGGGGCCCTGAGGCAATATTGTGTAAATACTATCACTTTTGTGAAAATAAATAAATACATACATACATACATACATACATACATACATCTGGGAATGTACTACCAAAAGCTACTTACAGATGAATCTGTCATCAGTAATCCAGCACAGAATTTCATAAAGAGTAGGCACACAAGGTTTGTTGATGGAAGAAAATTTGGGAATCAAGCTGAGTAATACCATCTGGAAAACTGTGGTCTAATTTTGAAGTACGTTTATTATCCTATAATACTCATAAAAGAAGACATTTTCAAAAAGTGCAGTTCTTAGAAATAAACCATCCCATTTTTAGGACAAAACTGTTTTAGATACATAGGTTTTTGCATACTAATTTTTAAGTGTAAATAATGTGTAGTGATATTTTGTACTGTGACAAAGGAAGAATGAAATCTTTTCAGTATTCATGTCAGGTCTTTTAGACACATGGGTATTTTAAATTCTTTTATAGACAGTGAAAAAACAAAAAATTCTTAGGAAGCAATGACGTTCCATACCTAAACTAGAATTACATGTAGCAACCATGTAGTAGCAAAACTATGAGGCATGCTTAATTTCAGTAAAATATTTTTCTCATTTTTAGAGAAATGAAGATTATTTAAAATCTGTTGTTGGCATGATTACAAAAAGGTAAGTACTGTCTGATAAGTTTGAAAATACCTGTTCTTTCATTTTTCTGTTTTATTTTTTCTGCCCGATTAAATTATTGTATTAGTGATCATATTCATTCTGATGAGTGAGCTGTATAGAAAGAACTACTTAGGACTACAGGTAGTTCTGAGCTGTGACAAAGTATAGCTTATAACTTTCCCCAATTTTGTAGGTTGTCTGCCTAATAAAATCCAGCTTTTCCATGTTACTATTGTTGTATCTATTCTCCATGAAATCCACTTCCTCTGAGAGAAGACTACTAGATTATTTTTTAATAATCTAGTTCTTGTGTTCCTTACTGTATGAAGTCACATTCTCCACGTCTGCTTACAATCTCCTGTTGGATGTAGCCTGGGAGATGCGAGCACATAATGATGAACCAACATGATGTTATTTCTCAAGCAAGATGCTGTGGAATGGACCCAGCCTTTCAGATCTTTATGTTCAAGTGGGTGATACAACTGGTAAAAAACAAATCACAACCAGGAAGCTGGTGTTTCATATTGGTATGGGGAGGGCAGTATGAGAACACGTAGAGGGTGAAGTCTTTCACTCTACCTGCAAGATATAAAGAAAGTAATAATTGAGCTGAGTCTAAAGGTATAAGTAGACACTCTTAAAGCAGATTAAAGGAGAAAGGGATGCCTGGCAAATAGAATTGCTTAAGAAGGCAGAAAGGCCAGAAAGGAGCACACTAGATTTTTGGAAATATGAGTGTATTCTGGAGTATGGACGTTTGAGATTAAGGAAGCAGTATCAGTGGGAGTTAAGGCAGGCTGTGATAAGATCCTGAAGAGCCTTGGGTAACGTGCTGAGGATTAAGCACTTTATGCTACAGACCAGGCTCGCAAACATGGCCTTCAAGCTGAATCTGGCCAATAGACAGTTTGGCTTCGCCAGCAAAGTGTTTGGTTTTGTTTCCTTACCAAGTAGCTCAAGGGGACAAGAAAAAAGTTATTTTCGTCAAAAAAAATTCTAGCTAATAACTGTAGAATGAATAGAATTAGAAAATCACCATTTTGAAACAGCTGGCCCAGGCATGTCCTTCAGTGACATGTGGATGGGGCACTTGATGTGGAAGGTGTACCAGCCAGCACCCAACCAGGAAAACGCTTGGTAATTCAGATAGAGGGAATTCAGTACAAAGAACTGGTCAAAAAGTGTTGACAGGGGCTGAGAGAACAAAAGAGAGGAGATGGGAGAAGCATAAAGGGAGGTGGGGTTTGACGAGCTGATGAGCTGACGTTGGCTGCACCTGCTGCAGTGCTGTTGGGAACCCCCCCCCCCGCCGGGTAGCAGTGCCGTCTCTGTCAGGGCTGGAGCCTCCGCTGACCCCCCACATCCTGCTGCTCCATCCTGCTTCTGCTGCTGCAGACGTCACCCCAGCCCCAAAGGAGGAAGCATAGCCTCCACTTTACTGCCTTCTAATCTCTTGATGCTGCCTCCCATAGGCAGAACCTACCCGGAAGCTGGCCAGCAAGGGGGTCTGGGGTTGTGGCATGCAGACCCCCTGCCCCTACAGTCCCTGGCAGAGCAGAGTGGGAGAGAGTGGGGGCTGAGGCCAGAGGGGCAATCTGCAGGAAGGGCTCAGATGCCCCCACCTGAGCCTGTGAGCAGTCTCAGCGTCCCTGGAAGTTAGACAGTCAGACGTTTTGTGTCTTTTGTTGTGTAGCCAATGAAATACACTGTGAAAAAACTGTAGGGAATTATTGCCCACCACCCTCCAAAATACAATATAACACAGTACAAGACAGAACAGCCTTTTTGTTTGTTTGTTTTTAGTTTCAGAGGTAGAATTTAGTGATCCATCAGTTGGATATAACACCCAGTGCTCATTACATCAAGTGCCCTCCTTCATGTCCATCACCCAGTTACCCCATCTCCCCACCCACCTCCCCTCCAGCAACCCTCAGTTTGTTTCCTATAGTTAAGAATCTCTTATGGTTTGCTTCTCTCTCTATTTTCATCTTATTTTATTTTTCCCTGCCTTCCCCTGTATTCATCTTTTTGTTTCTTAAATTCCACATATGAGTGAAATCATATATTTAAGACAGAACAACCTTTAATCTGATCTAAAGTCCAGTTTAGAGTATACACAGTGAATAGAGGAAGCAATCTGTAGTAACTACTAGGATGTAGGACATTCTATAGGACAGTTGACCCAGTTCTATTCAAAAAGATAGTTGAGGGAAAAAGAGAAAAACTGAAATTACTGGTCTGGATAATAAGTTTTAAAAAAGAAGTAAGAGATAACTGGTTATAATGAGAAGATCTTAAGTGGATACTCAGTGGAACACCCCCCCCCCCACCGCCTTCACCCATTAGATACTTGTTAGGATACTGGGCATATTTGAATATCAACTGAATATTATGTGATATTAAGTAACTATTCTTAGTCTTATAAGGTGTGATAATGGCATGTGGTTGTGTAAATAAATGTCCTTTTTTGATTTTGACACTGAAGAACTAAAGGGTGAGAACTGATTATCTAGGATTTGTTTTAAAATACTTCAGCAACGCATCGCTTCTTGGCCTTTTGGCTAAGATCAAGTGTAGTATCTGTTCTTATCAGTTTAATATCTGATACGTCCTCTATCCAAGGACAATATATTAAAATAGTTGAGCAACAAAAAGGGGGCCATATGGATGAAACAAGTGTGGTAAAAAAAAAATTAATGGTTGTTGAAATCAAGTGATTTGGGATTCATTGTAGTCCCACTTTTGTGTGTGTGTGTGTGTGTGTGTGTGTGGTAATTTTCATAATAAAAATTTAAAGAATTGAATTAGACTATTCTCAACAAGTTTGGCCAATGGAGAGAGATGTTAAAACATAGCAGCCTGAGGCAAAACTTATGTTTGGGGAGGTCTGGAGATGGGAGCACTAGGAGAGGTTTTATATGTGCTCTCATCAAGAGGGAGGAAGCTGATGGACAAGATCTACGGGGGGCGGGGGAGGGTTGGATGTAAGGTACACATGGAAGGAGGTTTAGGCAGAACTAAGCTAAGATAACGTAGAAAAAAATAATTAGCTTGAGAAAGGAGGGTGAAATGAAAGCATTCCCTCCTTAAAGGATTTTCTTTTCTCTGTGAAAGGAAAATAGTATGTTGAGAATGAGGAATTTATTGGCAGTGAACTTGAACTTGAGGGAACCTTGAAGTAGATGATGTGTGTGGAAGGAGCTAAAACTGGGCAAGATTAACTAAAACACCCTTGTATGTCTAGTTTTACCCAAAAAAGATTCCCCGGGGAAAAAAATTGCCTCATACTTGAATCCTTAAAATGTTCTCATATTCCAGGATACCCTCTCTTGGTTGCTTTTTTCTGCATAATAAACTGTTTGCAGAAGACACATTAACCTGAAATGACTTAAATCTATGCTAGTTTGGTGTTCTTATAAGGTAGTCTTCACGAAATCATTTACAAAGAAGGCAGAGATTTACAAACAATTCTTGGGGATATGTTTTGAAATCTTTTTAGGATGACTTTAAAAAAGAATTACAGTATGTGGTTACTTGTGGAGATCACAAATAAAAAACTACTTGATGTATAAAAACACTTATGTTTTGCTATAAAATGTACAAAGACAGTGTCACTAACTAGAAATTTAGTTAGACTTAACGATCATGTGTACCAGAGAACTATGTCAGATGATTCAAAAAGAGAGTCATATTATCTATCTCTAAAGGAAAACCATTTAAAATGCTCTATCTGGTGTGTCCCATCCTTTACCTTGATGGTACAAGATGTGTATTACAGTTTTTGTGAACAATATTTCGTGCATTTTAATGATTTCCTAGTTGGTCTATAAATATTAACTTTTAAAAATAAAGATTCTAAAAAGCATACATAGTCATCCAATGAGTTGTGGACAAGAGTCACACTCAATCCTCGCTTGCTGTGAGGAGTCTATAGTTTCAGCAGGCATGATGCTATTCAATAGGACTCTTTTTTTTTTTAAGATTTTATTTATTTGACAGAGAGAGACACAGCGAGAGAGGGAACACAAGCAGGGGGAGTGGGAGAGGGAGAAGCAGGCTTCCCGCCGAGCAGGGAGCCCGATGCAGGGCTCGATCATGACCTGAGCCGAAGGCAGACACTTAACGACTGAACCACCCAGGCACCCCCAGTAGGACTCTTATTAAACTCAAAACTGTGCACTTTAAAGAAATCATCTAATGTTCTATGCTAACTCGTTAGTTCCATTATTTTGAATGTTTTAGAGTACATATCTGATTGTAAATGTGCAAAAATTTGAAGTGCCTATAATTTTTATGAAAGGAAATTAATTTTATATTGTATATTTTAACTTTTTGTTAGGTTGCTTACTAATTTATAAAAGAAATGTTTTGGCTAAAAAGTATTAGTTTCATAAGGTGGACATCATGTATCTACATGTGAAACAATTCAAATAAAAATATTATGTGGACATGCATGAGGACATTCTTTTTAAGTATTTGTTATTTTGGTAAATTAAATACTGAGTTGCAAGCTTCCATTTACTTCTCTTTACAGATTCAAAAGGCAACTAAGGTCTGGATCCTTAGAAATCATTTCAATACCTGCCTTTTTTTATCCAAACATATCACATGTCAAGGAGTCAGCTGACAACTCAGGAAAGTCAGAGAGGTATGACGGATTACCTGAAATAACTTCATCAGACGTAATGTTGGAACCAGTATCTGAGAGATCCCATTTCAAACACAGCCAGCTCCTATTAGCTTGCAAGAGCTGACAAAGTGCAGCACTTCTCAGTCTGCATCCAGCGACGTCAAGTTGGTAGCATGAAATCAGCCATGGTAGGAGAATTTACACCATGGAAATGGGCAAAAGCACAAATCATGGCTCACCCTTACCCCACTCCCCGAAGAGTCAGTTGTTGAACATTTACCACCAGCACGCCACTGATTATCTGTGTTTGCTTATTCAGCCAATAATTAGCAAGGGCATAATGAAGGGGGAAAGAAAGCCTGGGGTTATAAATTATTACGTGTACATTCTAGTTCCAGTTTTACTGTTTGCTGTAGGTCATCCTAGACAGGTAATTTAGCCTTTGTCTTGGCTTCCTCTGCTTTCCCGTGTGCATAATAAAATCTACATTATACATTTGGAAGAATCATTGTAAGAATAAAATATGATAGTATTTATGAAAGAATTTTGAAAAAAGGTCTATACATGTATAAAGGATCACTATTGTTTGATTTTAAATGTTGTAGGTATTATAAGAAATGTAATAATTTGGTTCCTTGAAACTTAATAGAGTAAAAGAAATGTCAGAATTCAGAAAAAAGTCGGATCCCAGGAAACTATTAGCTCTGGTTTATGATAATAAATGGTATGTCAGAATCTGGAAATCTCTTAGGGGTTTTCTTTTGCTTTGAATTTAGTCAGTTCTTAGAGTCATAAACCTGGGAGACATTGTAGATCCTGTTTTTCCTTCTGCTCTTTATATCTCCATCATCATTTCTTCTTTTTTAAAAAATCTCTCTCTGCATCATCCCTCTCATCCCCATTCCTCTGCCTTGGACTTAGTTCAGGTCATTCATGATCTATTTGTTTTCCCTAAGCGTAGCCTAGCCTGGCCTCTCTTCCAATTCATTCTCCATAGTGTAGCCAGAAGAATCCATTTTCATGGGAGATCAAGTCCAAAGTCTCGTTCATGATCTGGTCTCTGCCCACCTCACCATCATCAGCTTTTCCATCCCCTCTTGGTGCTCTGGATCTAAGGTGGCACGTGCTCTCGTGCACGTTTCATGCCTTTGCAGTACTGGTCCTCCCACTGAATGCCCGGCCTCCTGATCTTACTGTATGTCATCATTGCCAATGTCTCTGTATAGCACTTATCTAATTGTTGTGATTTTATTAATTTTCTGTCTTTTCATACTGGATTATGAAACACAGAACTGCATTGTGTATTGCTCTTTGTACGTTCAGGAACTGGCCTAATACCTAGCTTAGTATTAAATTAGAATAAAGTTTCTTCTTACTTTTATTTGAACAAGACCTAAGACCAGAAAGAATATTAAGTTTACTACACAGATAAAAATTTAACCAAAACATAAAATAGATTATGTTTATCCTAGTTTAGTGATGGCCGATATGGTCCACTGAATAAAGATGGGAAACATTTTAATATAACTTTGCAGTATAAAATATTCAGTTACACTTACTGTAGATAGTACTCTATGTTAGCAAAGCGTAAAAAATTGTTTTTAATTACTGAAGTGTGCTTATAAATAAAAATTATGTAATAATGACAAATATTAACAGATTTTATTACTATCTTTAGTAGGTGCATCAAACAAGTACTGGATTTTTGTTTTTTGATGCTGTATGCCCAACCCAAGGCCATGTATTATTTACAGGTAAGACCGTGGTGTATATATATAATTTAAAGTGGAAGAATTATGTTCTCCTTCCCTCTTTTGATTCCTTCCTCATTGTATTCCTCCACCTTACTTTGTATTCAGAAAATACTCATTAAAGTTCCAAAAGGAAGTTTAAAGTTGATTTTATATAAGTCTTCTTGCTGGATTTACTATTAACAGAGGAAATTATAGTTACCTGAAGCAAACTGAAAAGAAATTCTCAAATTAGAAAAAAAATAGAAATTATGCTCCCTACATTTCTCTTCTCACAAATTTATTACATTAACATTAAGCAGACATATTTTGAGCACTTATTATGTGTCAGAGAGTGTGTATGCTTAGCATTGGTACCTTACATTGGCTCACCTTGTATGTTCTACCCAGTTCTACAATGCCTTACTGTATTTCTGAAATAAATCAATTATATATAGCTTGAATTCCCTGAATTCTGGCGTATTGTTAAATAATAGTGTTATGTTTCCCAGCAGTGAGTATACGCCTTACTACATGTGACAATATACAGTTGTAAGAAGAGTTGCAAGATATCACTGGAGAAGAGAGAATGTTAGAAAAAGGCCTGAAGTAGGGTCTTCTCTTTTACTGGAAGAAAAAAAAACTCTTTTGATTCCTAGTTAGTGGAATGTAACAGAAACATGAGATCCAGCCAATGTTTTCTTAAACAATTTGAAACCACGTAGTTCTCTTTTATGTTCTGGTAATGTGCTTGAGGACTTCCACATTTTTCTGAATCATTTAGGAGGTCCTCTTAGTGGATAGATTACACGTAATATATATGAGATTAAATAAAAGGAAAATTATAGTTTTCCTTTCCCCCTCTCTTAGGGAGAACTATTCTTAGGTTTATGTGCACTGCTATTCTACCCAGCTAGTGGTGGATGAGAGTGCCAGTTCCCTTTTGTCATCTCTTGGGCAGCCACCCTCTCTGGCAGTAGGACATGGTGGCACCTGTCATCTCAAACATAAAGCTAGTTGGCCTTAAATTAGAAAAGGAAGTCTTGGTAAGGATGAAAATGGATTCAGATAAGTAAAATTTTTTCAATGAGGATTTATTTATTTATTTATTTTTTAAGATTTTATTTATTTATTTGACAGAGAGAGAGACAGTGAGAGAGGGAACACAAGCAGGGGGAGTGGGAGAGGGAGAAGCAGGCTTCCCGCGGAGCAGGGAGCCCGATGCGGGGCTCGATCCCAGGACCCTGGGATCATGACCTGAGCCGAAGGCAGATGCTTAATGACTGAGCCACCCAGGTGCCCCTATTTATTTATTAAAAAAATTTTTTTAAAGATTTTATTCATTTGAGAGAGAGAGAATGAGCAGGGGTAGAAGGGTAGAGGGAGAGAGAGAGAGAGAAGCCGGCTCCCCGCAGAGCAGGGAGCCCGATGTGGGACTCAATCCCAGGACTCTGGGATTATGACCTGAGCCAAAGGCAGATGCTTAATCGACTGAGCCACCCAGGTGTCCTTCAATGAGGATTTAGTTTGAGTGTTCCATATTATTATTTAGGGAAAGAAACAGATTATCTCTGGTCTCAGAATCTGAAAGTGAAAACTAACAGTAAATACCCTCAGCAAATTGAACTAAAAATAAAATTAACCTCATAAAAACATTTTCTTCAGTGTATCCTATTAAAAGTATTTTCACTTCTCAAGCTGATGCAGCTTATTCAGTGGAAGTATCAAAGATACTCACGACTTTTTGTTTCTTTCCAGCTAGAAGATGATATCATAGCTAAAAAGACATACTTTACAAAAATCACAGATTTTGTGCATAATATCACTTCAAAAAATTGGTTTTATATTGAGTTTTCAATTCTTGGATTCATAGGTAAGAAATGTATCTATTTTTTAGCACACAATAATCTTAAAAGTTCTTAAGAACTTATCAGTTTGTTAATAAATGGAAAGGAAGGGCATGATTTCTATAAACATACTTTTAATTTAATAATAAGATCAAATTCAAGTATCTGAACTTCAGAAAATGTATTTTAAACCAATTTTTTCCTAGATGGACAATATAAATTAGCAGGTTGATTTATACATAATATTTTATAAAAAGGTAAGAAAGATACCACTTGCCAAGTGTTTGCTGAGAGTCTGCAGTCTCAGTGACTAAGGTGTACTTCTCTATTTTACATAGAAAAATACTTTCAGTTTATATAGAAACTCAAAGAATTAAAGTTCTAGAGAAAGGAATTCTAACGTAGGACTCCTGTACTCTAAATTCCCTGTAATTTCCAGTAAGCCAAAGCTGACATACTTAGAAAAGCATAAAAATACATGAATCGGCCCCACCACAGAAGAGTTCCTAAAACTGTGTCCATGAGGGGATTTTTAAAAAATTTCTTCTATAAACTTCTTTTTCTTCCTTCCACTCTTTCCACCCTTCCTTCTCTACTTTTCCTTTTAGTTGAACTTTGAGGTAGCAAGTTGAATGACCTTCCTCATTTCATGGTGCACGGCATCGTTTCTTCATGCAGGAGCCCTCTCTTACTTATTTTTTTCGTTTTATGCCCAGTCCCTACTCCCACTTCTTCCCACATCCCAGTAGGTTTGCACTCTACTATGTTCAAAGTATACATATAAATATGCATGTATCCATGTCAAATACTCGGTGTTTATCATGTTTGTACCTGTTTAAAGTTTACATAAACAAGTGATGTGATAAGCCTATTCATGCCCCTTACATTTTTGTCCTCAAAACTAGATTTTAAAACTGCCAACATGTCGATATATGTCCATTTAGTTTATTGTTCCTCACAACTGTTGCATAAGCCCTACGTAATAATCCATTTGATTTATCCATCCTCAGAGTAGTTGACCTTGATTGCTTCCAACTCCCTGCTGCCACAAAGAAATGAAGTGACGTATTTGTCCCCGGGAGCAGGATCACTGAGGGTGAAAGTAGCAGTGTCTCTGTGTAGCCAGATTGCTTTGCAGATTGGCTGTACAGTTTATCCTCCCTTAAGCAGTGCGTATGGGTTCCTGCTTCCCCATGTGCTTGATAACATTTGATTCTATCCATTACATCTTTTTTTTTTTTTTTTTTTGCCACTGGGAGGAGTGTAAAGCATTTCTCTGACTGCTCATGAAATCTGTTATTCATATACTTACTTGATCACCTTCTCTCCCATTCATTTTTTGTCAAGTGTTGTAGAATCCAGTTTTAAGACCCCAAAGATTTTTGCTCAGCTTTGATTTAAATAAGAAGAAAAATTATAGGTAACAGTAATACCCGATAAACTTGAAGAGGAAGTGTTTTGTTGATACATTACTTTGTGAACTATAAATTCCTTTTTATTTTTCTCGCCAAAGTCAGATATGAGAAGGATAGAGAATATTCACATTCTGATCACAAGAGCACAATGAACAGGAGCACATATATGCAATGCTGAAGTCTTATTTAAGCTTAAGTTTACAAGGGCTTTGTTCTCTGTTGTTATAATAACAATTTTCTTTTTATTGTTATGTTAATCACCATACATCATTAGTTTTTCATGTAGTGTTCCATGATTCATTGTTTGTGCATAACACCCAGTGCCCCACGCAGAATGTGCCCTCTTTAATACCCATCACCAGGCTAAGCCATCCCCCCACTCCCCTCCCCTCCAGAACCCCCAGTTTGTTTTTCAGAGTCCATCGTCTCTCATGGTTCGTCTCCCCCTCTGACTTACTCCCCTTCATTCTTCCCCTCCTGCTATCTTCTTCTTTTTCTTTTTTCTTAACATATGTTGTAATAACAATTTTCTTACTCAATATTACCAAAAATATGAATTTGCTAAACAGAATTTTATAGCATACTGAGAGCAGATAAGGAAGACACAAATACTGAATCACCTGTTTCCATCATTAAATCACTTGTTTTGGTCACTATATAAATGGGTGCCAAAAAATTAAAATACAACTATACATTTGATTAAGTAACCCATACAGACTCAGCTCCTAGTGAAAAAAAGGAAGCATGCTTACTTTCTACCAGCATGTTTATTAAATGGTTAGATGTATTTTATACTCTTTACTTTAAAGTGAAAATTTACCTGAATTTTATACCTTCAACTTCATTTTAAAATTAATTTTAAAATTAAAAATGCAGTGTATTAGGAAAAAAGCAATTGGACCTAATGAAATATCCTACTTTAAAATAGGGCAAATCTTTAAGAATCACAAATACAAGAGAAATAAAATTCATATAAAAATGATGGTCAAATACTGAAATAATACTGTATTCTAATCAAAATTAAGTACTAAGCATAAAAAATCTGGTAGATAAAGTTCTACAAAAGTCAGGTTATAAATCAGTTTCTGCAAAAATAAGTAAAAGATTATAGCTCCTATAATTTTCATTTTATTTAAATATCCTTTTAATTATTATGTATAAATCTTTCACATGACTTAGAAAATTGATCTCACTGGTTATCAAAATTGATTACCTGAGAGTATTCACTATTCTAAACCTGCTTCACACTTTCCTGCCCAGAAATGGTAATCCTTAATACTTAAGCAGATGTATTATTTTGCTTTATTATCCTTCAACTTCACGAATACTTTAGGCTTTATTTATTTTGAAGGAATAATTTAATTTTTAATGATTTTTTGGTCCTTTCTCATCTTAATAGAATGAATGACTATATATAAGCATTATTTTATGATATATTGTTATTTGGATTTGTAAACACTCAAGAGTTATTTGGATTTGTTTACTTTTTCTCCATAGGAAAGCTGTTTAAATCTGAGGACTTATCTGACTTTGTACGTTTTTTTTTAATGTTCTACAAAGATAAACCCATAGACTTGCTCTTGAGGGACATTTTTCAGGTAAAGATGTGTAACCCAGGAGAAAATCCTGTGAGTATTTCTTTACTTTTAAATGCAAAATATTTTATGAAAATACTATCTGTCTAATGTAATTCCCTAAAATTTGTTCACCAAACTAAACCTGATGAGTGCATTAATTTTTAAACTTCTGGTATCCAGAATTTTTACTGACACTTATACGTACTAAGTGAAGTAATGAGAGGCCACAAATTTAGTGAGAAGTAGAAAAAAAGAGACAAAAAAACCCAAACAAACAAATAATAAAATGTTGGTTGTAAATCCAAATATGTCAATATTTACATCAAATATAAATAACCAAAATATACCAATTAAGAGAGAGTTCATCAGAATGGATTAAAAAACACTATGCAATTACTTGCTGTCTATACTTAGTTCAAATATAATGATATACATAAGTAAAAGTAAAAGGTAGAGGGCGCCCGGGTGGCTCAGTTGGTTAAGCATCTGCCTTCGGCTCAGGTCATGATCCCAGGGTCCTGGGATCGAGTCCTGCATTGGGCTCCCTGCTCGTGCTCTCGCTCATTCTCTCTCTCAAATAAATAAAATATTTTTTTAAAAAGTAAAAGGTAGAGAAAAGAAATACCTGCAGACACTAATCAAAGGAAATCTGTAGTAGCTATATTAATATCAAAGTAGACTTTGGTGAAAAAAAACAAAAAATTTAACCAGGGATCAGGAAAGATACTATATACAGGTAAAAGGGTCAAATCACCAAGAAGATATGACAATCCTAAAAGTGTATGCATCTAATGACAGAGCCTCAAAATACATTAAGCAAAAGATGACAGAACTAAAGGAAAAAATAGATTACTCTATAATTATAGTTGGAGACTTCAACACTCCTCTCTCAGTAAGCAACAGAGCTGGTTGGTAGAAAATCAGCAAAGTGATAAAAGAATTGAATAACACCATCTACCATCTGGATTTAATTGGTATTTTATTTTATTTTAAAGATTTCATTTATTTATTTGACAAAGAGAGAGAGTGTGCATGCCCAAGCAAGGGGAGCAGCAGGCAGTGAGAGAGGGGGAAGAAGGCTCCCCAGTTAGCAGCCTTGATCCCAGGATCTTGGGATCATGACCCAAGCTAAAGGTAGATGCTTAACCTGCTGAGCCATGCTTAACCTACTGAGCCCCTTAACTGATATTTTAAAAACACTATGTCCAACAGCACTAGAAAACACATTCTTTTAAAATATGTATAGAACATTCACCAAAATAGACATGTCTTATATCATAAAGCAAAGCTTAACAAATTTAAGATGTAATCACAAAAAATGAAACTACAATTTGGCAACAATGGAATAAAATTAGGAATTAATAACAGAAAGATAACTGAAAAATCTACAAGCACTTGGAATTTAAACAATACACTCCTGAATAAACCATGAGTGAAAGAGGAAGTCTCTAAAGGAAATTAGAAAATACTTTGAATTGAATGAAATGAAAATACAACCTAACAAAATTTGTGGGAGGCAGCTAAAGCACTGCTTTTGGAGAAATTTGTCCTAGAAGAAATCATTATCTTAGAAGACAAGAAAGATCTCCCATTAATAATCTCAGCTTCCACCTTAAGTCACTAGAAAAAGAAGAGCAAAATAAACCCAAATCAAGCGGAAGAAAGAGAATAATACCTCTGAGGGCAGAAAGAAACAGAACTGAAAACATAAAGGCAGTAGAGAAAACTAATGAAACCAAAATCTGGTTCTTTGAAAAGAGCAAGAAAACTGATAAATTTCTGATAAGACTGACAAAGAAGACGCAAAAAATAAATTATCAATAATAAAATGAAAGAGAGAATATCATGATATGTATGTATATGTGTGTGTGTGTGTGTGTGTGTAAGTCTAACAAAATAGGTAGGTTATCTATATGCTGAAAACTTAAAAATGCTGATGAAAGGAAGAGACATACCATGATCATGGATTAGAAAGCTCAACATAGTAAATATGCAAATGCTTCCTAAATTGATCTATGTATTTAACATAATGCCAATCAAAATCCCAGCAGGATTTTCTATGGTAGATATAGACAAGCTAATTCTAAAATTTTTAAGAAAAGGCAAAGGAACTAGTTTAGCTAAAATGATTTTGAAAAAGAAGAATAAAGTTAGAGGCATTATACTACGCAATTTCAAATCTTATGATAAAGCTACAGTAAGCAAGACAAACATTTATAGGTAAAGAGCTAAACAAATAGACCCTGGAATTAAACAGATAATGCAGAAATAGGTCCACAAAATATGGCCAATTGATATTTGACAAAGGAGCATATACAATTCGATGGAGAAAGAATAGTCTTCTCAACAAATGTGTATTGGATTAATTGAAGGTGTGTGTGTATGTGTGTGTGTGTGTGTGTGTGTGTTTGTATGTATGTGTATATGATCTCAACCTAAACATCACACTTGATACAATCATTATTTCAAAATACATCATCTATCTAAATATGAAACATAAACTATAAAACTTTTAGAAGAAAGTATAGAAAAATACCTTTAGGATCCAGGGCCAGGAGAAGAATTCTTAGACATGACACTAAAACCATGATCCATTTTTTTTCCATTGCTAAATTGGATTTCATTCAAATTAAAATCTTTTATACTGTAAATTTTACTGTTAGAGGGTAAGACACCATAGACTAGGAGGAAATATTTGTAAACTCTATATACAACAAGGATTTGTATTCAGAATATATATAAAATTCTCAAAACTTAACAACAGGGAAACAACCCAATTAAAAAATGGGCACAAGACTTGAATAGACACTACAAAGGTAGTTTCTTCCTTACTGTAATAAGCAATGAACTCAGTTTTTCTTTATCAACAGGTTATTTGGGGGGTAATTTTGGGAAGCCAGCATTTGATAATACCATCTCAATGGTACTTCTATTAATAGTTTAGCAAATATTAGAATATTTCCTAAAGTTTAACTCCTCAACTAATTTTATCTGACTTTAGTTTAAATTAAATTAACTCAGGATTATTTAATTAGTTTACAGTTTTAAAAACAGTCATTTAATCTAATATTTTCCTACATGTTAGTACTGAGTAGAAATGCATTTAAGTAAGTCTGCTATTTAAAAAATGAAACAAGGCAACCTACTGAATGGGAGAAGATATTTACAAATAATATATATCTGAAAAGGTTAATATCCTAAATATATAAAGAATTTATGCAACTCAACACCAAAAAAACCCCAGACTAATTAAAAATGGGCAGATAACCTGAATAGACCTTTTTCCAAAGAAGCCATACAGATGGAGGCGACTGGGTGGCTCAGTTAAGTGTCTGCCTTTGACTCAGGTCATGATCTTAGGGTCCTGGATCAAGCCCCATGTCAGGCTCTCTCCTCAGCAGGGAGTCTGCTTCTTCCTCTCCCTCTGTGTGTGAGCTCTCAATCTCTCTCAAATAAATAAATAAATAGCAATACAGATGGCCAACAGATACATGAAAAGATGTTCAACATGACTCATCATCAGGGAAATGCAAATCAAACCATAATGAAATAGCACTTCACACTGGTCAGAATGGCCAAAATAAAAAACACAAGAACTAACAAGTGTTGGCAAGGATGTAGAGAAAAGAACCCTTGTGTGCTCTTGGTGGGAATGTAAATTGGTGCATCCACTATGGAAAACAGTATGGAGGTTCCTCAAAAAACTAAAAATATAATTACCATATGATCCAGTAATTCCACACTGGATATTTACCCAGAAAAAACAAAACACTAATTGGAAAATATATATGCACCCCTATGTTTTTGTAGCATTATTTACAATAACCAAATTATGGAAGCAGTCCAAGAGTTCATCAATAGATGAATGGATAAGGAAGATGTGATATATATACACAATGGAATATTATTCAGCCATAAAAAGAATGAAATCTTAACATTTGCAACAACATGGATGGAACTAGAGAGTATAATGCTAAGTGAAAAAAAATCAGAGAAAGACAAACACCATATGATTTCATTCATGTGCAATTTAAGAAACAAAACAAATGAGCAAAGGAAAAAAAGAGAGAGACAAACCAAGAAATAGACTCTTTGTGGGGGAGGGTCAGAGGGAAAAGGAGAGAGAGAATCTTTTTTTTTGTATTTAAACCTTATTTATTTACTTTTATTAATTTTATTTTATTATTAGTCACCATTCATTACATCATTAATTTTTGATGTAGTGTTCCATGATTCATTGTTTGCACATAACACCCAGTGTTCCATGCAATATGTACCCTCCTTAATACCCATCACCAGGCTAACCCATCCCCCCACCCCCCTCCCGTCTAAAACCCTCAGTTTGTTTCTCAGAGTCCATAGTCGGAGAGAGAGAATCTTAAGCAGGCTCTATGCCCAGCATGGAGCCCGACCTCACAACCTTGAGATCATGACCTGAGCTGAAATCAAGAGACACTTAACTGACTGAGCCACCCAGGGGCCCCAAGAAATAGATTTAACTATAGAAAACAAACTGGAGGTTACCAAAGGGAGGTAGTGGGGGGATGGGTGAAATAGGTGAGGGGAATTAAGAGTACACTTATCATGATGAGCACTGAATAATGTATAGAATTGTTGCATCACTACATTGTGCACCTGAAACTAATCCAACTCTGTATGTTAACTATACTGGAATAAAAATTATGTTAACTATACTGGAAAAAAAGACATCTGGGTGGCTCAGTCAGTTAAGCATCTGACTCTTGATTTGGGCTCCGGTCATGATCTCAGGGTCATGGGATCCAGCCCTACATCTAGCTCTGTGCTCAGTGCAGAGTTTGCTTAAGATTCTGTCTTTCCCTCTCCCTCTGCCCCTCCCCTCTGGGTGCTTGCTCACGCAAGCGCGCACACACACTCTCACTCTCTCTCTCTCTGAAATAAATAAATCTTTAAAAAAAATTGAGTATATAAATTTGGGAGGCATTTTTATGAATTTTCTATGTATACAGTATGTAAAATAATTCTCAACAATCATAATAATTTCAGATGTTTTCTTTTTTTTATTATGTTATGTTAATCACCATACAGTACATCATTAGTTTTTGATGTAGTGTTCCATGATTCATTGTTTGTGTATAACACCCAGTACTCCATGCAGTATGTGCCCTCTTTAATACCCATCACTGGGCTGACGCATCCCCCCACCCCCTCACCTCTAGAACCCTCAGTTTGTTTCTCAGAGTCCATAGTCTCTCATGGTTCGTCTCCCCCTCCGATTTCCCTCCTTCATTTTTCCCTTCCTACTATCTTCTTCTTTTTTTTTTTTAACATATAATGTATTATTTGTTTCAGAGGTACAGGTCTGTGATTCAACAGTCTTAGACAATTCACAGCACTCACCATAGCACATACCCTTCCCAGTGTCTCTCACCCAGCTACCCCATCTCTCCCACCCCCCACCACTCCAGCAACCCTCAGTTTGTTTCCTGAGATGTTTGCTTCTAATAGGAATGGTGTCACAGGTCATCTTTCTTATTTTTATTTTTAATGAGATTAACCAAATCTTTTTCCATAAAGTATAATATTGTTTCTTTGTTTTAATTATATGGTTTTTTTTTACTTAAGAAGAAATTAAGGAGGATGTAACTCAGTGTAGGAATTAATGACTATGGAAAGAGAAAGAATAATGTACTCTGAGAGAAATGGATAGAAAAATATGAAAAAATTTCATCTATGTTATTGAAATAAAAGGAAGGGAGCAGAAAATTATAGTTGGTACAACAGTAGCCTGATTTTCTAACACAGAGTTCAGGAAAATAACATGCTTTAACTAAAACCTTTTTATATCTCAACTTGTGTTTTATTATTCTTATGAAGAAAAAGCTAAGAAATAAAGTTTTATTTAATTTTTAAATATTAAAATAAATCTCTGGCAAAAACTAATATTATACAAAATTCTGCCATCCATAAATGTAATAAAAAGGAGTGTTTGGGTTGTTACAGAAGAGTGTTGTTTCTCTTATTTTTCCCTAGGAAAAATGTGCAGAACGAAATAAGCAAATTTGTATTCGATATAAACCTTCTCTTTTCCAGCATGTGGGTATACAGTCATCATTCCCTGGAATAGAACAATATTCCAAAGTAAGATTTTGAAATGTATCTTGAGTAATATACAATGTCTCATTAACTTATAAAATATTGTTTAGAAAAGGAGCGATGAAAACATGAGAATAAAATATGGTCGTTCAAACATAATTATCTTATGACAACTATATGTTGTGAAGAGCAATCATTTTTTCAAGACCCAGGTTATCTGCCATGGTAAGAAAAATCCAGTGTATGTTCTTTGCCTTACTGTTACCAGCTGTGCGGTTCAAGTAATGACTACAAATGTGTTTTAAAAATCATAATAAAATTCACTCTTTTAGTCTAATATTTAAAGTTATAGAAGAATATTTCTAAATAAAATGCTCCTATTATTGAATTTAAGTGTATCAACATTCTTATTTCAGATTACTGTTTACCATATCAACAAAAATTCAGTCTTGTTTGATTTTTAATCAGTCTTTAATGTTCCATCATTTTTTGGAAGCAATGTTATTTGTCATTGATTTAGCATCTTGGTAGAGTAGATGAAGCAAAGACTTCAGAGTCAAAACAACTAGTTTTTAGTTACGGTGACCTGTGTACGTGATATTGGGCAAGCCCTAACACTCCTCTGTGCTTTTTTCATCTGTATGAGAAGCTTAAATTAGATGATCCTTAAGGTGTTTTCCGCCTTTGAAATCTCTCCTTTCTTAGTCTCTTCACACAACAAAGCAAATGATTGCTTTAATCCTTTGTCAATTGAAATGAGAAAAATGCACATACACATACTCCCATCATTTCGTTCATTTTTTTATGAACTGCCCTCTTTCCACCTTTTCTACTTCTTATCTCTGTGTATTTATTGCACTGCACTCTTCGGAACACTGTCTGAAACATAGTGTGAATTCAGTAAATGTTAGCTATTAGCAATTAGGCAAAGTGAAATTCTAGATTAAAAATGTTCATTAAACAAAGCAAACAAGTGCCAGGAATAATGAAAATTTAACTATTATAAATCTTCATGCAACAAATAACACCGTGAAAATACATAAAAAACATAGCCGCAGGTGATGCAGAAAGAAATTGGGTCTATGCCATTCTATTTGTTGGTGCTATTATAATGGGACTCTTTTCTTCCATTATATTTTTTGCTGGATAAGGTATTTTAACCTTACCTTTGTAAATTCACAACAGAATAGAATATTTATCTAATCACTCATATTTTGATATTATAATCTAGCTTTTGTCCTTTTTTATGCCTCACCCCATGTAAAATAGAAATAAATAACAATTTAATGGTATGTCAAATGTGATTGTATATTTTTAAAATTTATATTATTTTGTTATAATTAATTATATTATTTTAAAATTTTCTAACAGGATATTTATTATTAGGAGTTTCATAATTCAAATACCTTCTTTAAAAATGATCAGCATCATTCTTTGGAAAAAACAGCATAATAAGGATTAGTCTTAGTTCTCAACTTTCTTCATAGTGGATAAAGGACTATATCATATAAAAAAATTTAAGCCTTTGATAATATAGTGGTAAGTATAAAATTGATATATAGAAAATTATCAGATATTTGTTAGCTTTATTTGTTTTGTGTATTTTAAAATCTTATACAGATAACTCTCTGATATACTCTCTAATATTTTGTTTTAGAAGAATGAATAGGTATTTTCTTTTCCTTTTTTATCATATACTGTAGATATACAACGAATTTGGAGACAATAGATCTGAGTTTGAAGCCTCATTTTTTTTTAAGATTTTATTTATTTATTTGAGAGAGAGCATGAGCAAAGGGAAGAGGAGGGGGAAGGGCAGAGGGAGAAGCAGGCTCCCTGCTGAGCAGGGAGTACAATGCAGGGTTCATCCCAGGACCCTGGGATCATGACCTGAGCCAAAGGCAGACACTTAACTGACTGAGCCACCCAGGCGCCCCTGAAGCCTCATTCTTATCAATAGATGCAACAAGATGGATGAATCTCTAAAATTACATTATGCTAAATGAAAAAAGCCAGATGCAAAAGACTATACTATATGATTCAATTTGTATGGAATGCTAGAAAAGGCAGATCCTGATATCTCTTTATGATTTTAATTTGCATTTCTTTAATGACCAATGATGTTGAGCATCTTTTCATGTGCTAATTGTGTATGTGTGTGTGTATACAGATATACACACACATTTTTACGAAATGTGGATTTTAATAAAATGTATGTATATATTTTGTGAAATGTCTTGTTAAGTATTTGCCCATTTAAAACATTGGGTTGTTCACCTGTTTATTTTTGAATTGTTATAATTCCGTATATAGGCTGACCACAAGGTTCAACTTATGGCTTGTTCTTTCATTTTCTTTTAATGAATGAAAGATTTTAACTTTGATAGAGTTCACTCCACCCAAACCTCCACCCTGTCCATATAGTTATGTCATTGGTTAGCTCAGTATTCAATGATTTTATAATGACAATATAAATGCTATTTACACTTAAACTATGTAATATGCTCTATTTTTCCTTTATTATACAACTTTTTTTTGGAGTTTTAAATTGGCTTTATTTCAATGTACTTATCACTAATTCGCCCTTAGATTCCCTGTGAATTATCTAAATCTGTTGTTAGTATATTCAAACATTCTAAAAATCATGGTTGAATGTAGAATATTGTCAAATGCTTTTCTGCATTTCTACTGCTTCTTAATCTTGAAAAATATCTCTCCTGCAGCCTTCTGACCAGTTCTAGCTGATATTTTAGGAACCAGGGGGTTGATTTTCTTGTTTTCTATATCCCAAATATGCATCATACTTGGTCCACGTGTTTGTTAGTAAAGCACACCGCCCCCCCCACCCAGTAATTTCTTGAGAAAGATTGTGTAGGAGGTGAATTCTTGGAGAACTGAAACATCTTAAAATGAATGCCGTCTGTCAAACTTAATTGTTAGGTTGGCTAGGCAAAGAATTCTGAATTCTGATTTTTGAAGGTATTCAAGAGTGTAACCAATGAAAAGTAGTTAAAGCCATTCTAATTCCCGTTTCTTGGTATACGAACAATTTTCCCATCAGTAAACCTTTAACATTTTTCTTGTATTTAGGGTTCTACAATTTCATGATGATGGTATGGGTCTATTTTTATTGATTGTGCTTGATATTTGGTAGGGCTTTTTAATCTGAAAACTCATATTTGGATTCTGGAAAACATTCACAAATTATTTTATTGATAAATTTTCTCCTCTATTTTCTATATTCTTTTTAAGGAACCTTATTTCAAATGTTAGATTCCTTGGATTGATGTTCTCTCTCTCTCTCCTACTTTCCCCTTCCTGTTTTCTTTCTATTTGCTTCACTTTCTGAAAGTTTTTCTGAATTTCACCTTATATCCTTTTTATTAGTGCTTTTTTTGTTTTTTGGGGGGAGTTTTCATTGATTGGTTGGTTTTTTGTTTTTGCTGTTATAGCTTTAATGTCTAAGAACCCCTTTTGTGCTCCTAATGCCATTGTCCCCTTTTATAACACTTGGTTCTTATTTTATGATTGAAATAGTTCCACTTATCCCTCTGAGAATTTTAATAGTTTTTTTTTTTTAAGATTTAAAAAAAATTCATCCTCCTGCATAGTTTCTATTTCCTCCAGGTTGTTTTTTTTGTTGTTGTTGTTCTCTGTTCTTCAAGTTGTCGAAGGGTTTCCTCATGTATGTAATGGTCATAGATTGTGTGTTCAAGTGGAGAAAGCTGGTTGGAGGCTCTGAACACATGGCTGAACCCATCAGTTTCACTGACAGAGGAGTGGCTAGGCTCTTTCCCAGGAAATCACCTTAGTGCCTCCCAGTCTTGCTGCATGGGCTAATCAAATTGCTAGAGAATCTGGGAGCCAAGTGGGCAAAGATAGCTGGGGCTTTCAGTGTTCACTTTGTCAATATTTACTTATTTGTTCTGTTTTCTCTTTTTTTTTAAGATTGATTGATTGATTGATTGATTGATGGGGCAGGGAGGGGCGGAGGGAGAGAGAGAATTTCAAGCAGACTCCCCGTCAAGTGTGGAGCCCAACAGGGGGCTAGATCTCACGACCCTGAGACCACGACCCTGAGATTATGACCTGAGCCAAAATCAAGAGTTGGACACTTAACGGATTGAGCCACCCAGGTGCCCCTATTTGTCTTGTTTATCATTATTATCCTTACCCTGGTTTGAGTCTAGATACACACCTTATGTTTGCCTTTTCAGAAAATTACCCTTCAAGAGTGAGGAAAAGATAATCGCCTGGCTCTGTGGGGTGGGAGAAGATATTTAGAGCTTTATTCACTGCTGAGACTTGCAAGCCATCTTTTGCCCCATCTTCACCTCTGTTTCTAGCAGTAGTGGGGACTTCTACCCTGCGGATTGTGCTTCTCTGCTTCCCACTGGCAGCTTGAGACACAGCTCTCTCACACCTCCATTTGGTTACCATTGTCTGCTTTCCCATTCTGTTTGTAAGATCATGTATCTTCAACTGGCCCTTATGGTTAAGTGTGATTTCTAGAAAGAGTGAAAGTTAATATTTGTGTCTGATTCACCATCTTTACGAGGCATCCTGCTAATTCATTCTCGAACTTTTACTTTTTGGCTCATTTGGTTTTGAACTTCCAAAAAGAAAATCTTAATTTCCAGAACTTTCAGTTGATTCTTTTTATATGCACAATATCCTTCCTATCATTCAGGGAAAATTAATTACACTTAAACAGTAGTATATTATGTAATGTGTAAATCATTATTTTTTTTTTTTTTTAAGATTTTATTTCTTTGACAGAAAGGTAGAGAGAGAGAGAGTACAAGTAGGCAGAGTGGCCAGCAGAGGGAGAAGCAGGCCCCCCGCCGAGCAGGGAGCCCGATGTGGGACTCGATCCCAGGACCCTGGGATCATGACCTGAGCCAAAGGCAGATGCCCAACCAACTGAGCCACCCAGGCGCCCCTGTAATTCATTATTTTAACGCTTCCTATACTTAGTGTCTGTCGTTAATTCTGCATCATTGCCATCCTCCTCTCCACTCTGCTTCTCAGGGGAGAATTGGGGGCGTACACGTCACAGAATGTCTTTCCCTCACAGAGTGAGGTGTTAGATTCTGTCAGTGAGAGGTACTCCCAGTAGACCTGGAAGATGGCGGCCGAGAGGGCAGCAGATGCCTGGACAGGAACTTGAGTTCATACTTGCTGCCCCACCAGCTGAGACCACGGGTGGCTTCTCCTGGCTTCCAGGTTCTGAAAATGGCCCACTGTTATGCTGAGGATTTCCAGGTTTCCAGAAGTGGCTTCTTAACCTTTGCTCCCCTAATCCTTCCAACAGTTGAGCTCACCTCTAGTTTACTCTAGCTTCATGAAGCTGATTTCTTTATTCAGAATACCCCAAGTGTCATCTGTTTCCTTGACTGGCCTCAGTTTCTCAGGATTTGCTGCTGCTTGTGCTTCACCCCCCGCCAAACTGAAATTTAATTTCTTACTCATTGGGACTCTCTATTGTTTTGTCTGTGAATGTTGAGTCTGTTTTCTGTAGCTTTCTTCCAGTATTTATGGGAGGAATGGGCAGTCTACAGCTCACTCTGTACAGAGGCTTTTCTTCTGAGTAGGGAAGACCCCATTCTTTTTGGGTATTGTTTTCTTCTCCACAAACACCCATACTCTATGCCTCTGCTCGACAAAGGTCATTTGATGTCTGCTGCTGGGCATAAGCATGCATATCCCAACTGTGACTCTGCAGCTAATTCCAGTCCCTACTTGTTGCCCTATATCCACCACCTCTGAGCTTGGGTCATCCTTAGAGCCATGCCCACCTTTTTAGTAGCTGGCTCCTTTGTGTTTTGGAATTTGAATTCCTCCCCTTCTAGTCCAGTCTCATCTGCTTTCCATTTAACATTCCATCTGCATGGTGTATATGGATGGAAGTGTGTTCATGCAGAATTACCTTTTGACACTTCAACAGCAAAAGAGGCCTATAATATATTATCAAAAGTATGCATTATTTATACAAAGACCACTTCATGGAAATGTGGGTGCATTTCCATGAAGATAACCCTGCATTCTATGCATTTTGATTAGACCTGCGTCACATTAAAAGGTGCTTTTCTTTTTTTAATGGGACTGAGATCAGCAAAAGTTTGAAGAAGTTACCTCAGCTGGCAAATTTCCCGGGAACCTGTATTTGTTATGCTCTCAGTCACCTGTCTTTCTCTTTTACTAGCTCCTTTCAGAATGTCTCCCTTCTTTCCTTCAAGAACAAGAAGACTACCACCACCTCATAGCTTCCCTCCCACGTTAGGAATTAGAAATGCCTTCAGCATCCTCCACTGCAACCACATTTCACTATCAAAAACAATTTCAGGGAAATAATGAGCTGTCCATTTGCTAAGGCTTTTAGATATTTAAAATCAGATGTTTCCAAACTGAGGAAAGAGTTGCAGAATGGATTACCCCTTTCACTTCCCAAAGGCTGTATTTCAAAATGGAATAAAATTTAATTGTATATAATTTTTAGCTTTGTTTATATTTTTCAAGCAATATGCACATATCTGGCTAAAAATTAATAAAAAGAGGAGCTTATAATAAAAGGCAACAACCCCCTGCACTTCCCCAGCCCTATCTCACTCACCAGAGGCAATGACATTTCATCATTTCTGGTTTAAATGCCTCTGGTAGTTTTCTTTATATTGCTAAATAATATGCTTATGCTACTAATTTTTATTTATCCACATTATTTTTCCTGCAGTGCAGATGAGTATTTAGCTCAGATACTTATTCATTTTTGTTATGTCTTAGTCAGTTTCGGCTGCTAAGACAAAAATACCACAGACTGGGTGGCTTAGACAACAGAAATTTATTTCTCACAGTTCCAGAGGTTGGAAAGTCCAAGATCAGGGTTCCAACATGGGGGCTTTTGGTGAGAGCCCACTTACTGGTTTGTAGACAGTGTCTTCTAACTATATCCTCACATGGCCAAGAGTAGAGAAAGCTCTAGTCTCTTTATCCCCTTATAAAGGCACTAAACTCATTCATGAACCCTCTGGACCTAACTATCTCCCCAAACCCCCATTTCCAAATACACTGAAGACTTAGGCTTCAGCATATGAATTTGAGGAAGGGGACACAAATGCTCAGTTGATAGCATATTACGACTTTAATTATTTTGCCCCTTTCTTTTCTAAGTTCTCTTTTCTGAAAGAATAATCAAATATTAAACTTACTGAATTGATCTCCTATATGTCATAGCTTTCATTTACTTTTTTTAAGATTTTATTTATTTGAGAGAGAGAGCACATGAGAGAGAGCTAGAGAGAGCATGAGCAAAGGAAGGAGCAGAGGGAGAAGCAGACTCCCCGTGGAGCAGGGAGCCAGACTTGGGCCTCTGGGCTGAGGCTCGATCCCAGGATGCTGGGATCATGACCTGAGCCAAAGGCAGACGCTTAACCGACTGAGCCACCCAGGTGCCCCTCAAATTTTAATTTTATTAAGTAAAATAAAATTTAAATTCATGATTTCAGCAAGATAAATGTCACCCTCTTTTCTTTAACCAGGTCCAACATAGCAACACTTGTGTTGCTATGCTTTCCTTAATATTCATTTCTTTAAGTCTTTAAAAAAATTTTATGTAAAATTTGTTCTTTAATCAGTTAAATTATATATTACACTTCTCATAAAACTTTTTATTTTTTTATTTTTTTAAATTCTTTTTGAAGATTTTACTTATTCATTTGAGACCCAGAGACACACAGCGAGAGAGCATGAGCAGAGGGAGAGGAAGAAGCAGGCTCCCTGCCGAGCCAGGAGCCCAATGTGGGGCTCATCCCAGGGCCCCAGGATCATGACCCAAGCTGAAGGCAGACACTCAAACATCTGAGCCATCCAGGCACCCCTCATAAAACTTTTTAAAATGCAAGATAAATTTTCTATAGCTCATTAAGGAGAAAAAATAGTTTGGTTTATTTCTATTCATCTAACTTGTAGTTAAAAATAATAATAATTTAATAAACGAAAAACTTGTCTTAGTGATAAATTTTCTAGGTTTTAAGTTTAAAATTTTTGCCTGTGTCATCAGGTTAAATGTTCCTTATCATTTCATGTCCTAAATCTGTAATAAAAATAAAAGA